GGCGGGCCGCTGCCGTCTTCTCCACCACGAAGCCGTAATTGTACTGCGAAAGTGGGGTGAAGGGAAGGTTATGGTGACGGAGGAAGATGGGGACAATATGAAATCCAGCCATCCCTAGCCCTGAGAGTTGGGGTGTGCCTGGGAAAAGGGATGCCAGGGGGAGGTGGAGTTAGCCTTGAGTGGGGGTGGCTCCCCTTCCCCCCTGCACCTACCTCCTCCTCTATGTCCGCCAGTGACTTGATGGTCAGGTCCCCAAAAGCAGTGAAGGCCTAGTGGGCAAGGGCGAGTCAATCTTGGGCCAGGGTCTCAAAGAGGACAAACCGTCCCCTCTTCTCCACCCACCTGCCCGCCATTTTTTTTTTTGAGAGGTTTTTTTCCTTTTTCTTTTTTTTTTGGAGAGGTTTTCGCTAGAGGGCGTGTGTGCATGCCAGACAGACAGAGAGACAGAGAGACAGAAAGCAAGAAATCACCCCCCAGGGGCGATGGCCACGCCGCAATCCCTTCTCCTCCATTCTCCTCTCGGGATCTTGGGCACGCACGCACATGCGCCTGGCGTGAGTTTAAGCCACCGGGTCCGGGACGCGAACCGCGGTCGACTACGTGGGAGTCCCGCGACATAGCCATTATGCTAACTGCTGGTCCCCAACCTGCCCGCTTTAAGCCACAACCTCTATATACTTGGGGGGAGAGGCTGGCAGCTGCTCCTGACCCCCTCATTCTGGAACTGGGGACCTTATGGCCAGCCGCCCCTCTGAAACCCCCAACCCAGGACCGTGGGCTTCTGTGCCAGGCAGCTGGAACTGGACTGGGACAGGCAGGGCAGACCCAAGTTTGTGGGTGCAGACTCACCAGGGGGCTACAGCCCTTGCCCTCGAATCGGGGGTGCAGCGTGAAGGGAACCCCATCCATAGCTGAAAAAAAAAAAAAACAGGCCAGAGGTTAAGGCACTACACATTCCCAAATGGCTGACCACAGTTCGAGTCCTGGGCCTGGTGGCTTGCTTTCTCACTTTCTCTCTCTCGCTCTCTGGTCAAGTTAAAATAAGTGAATGAATAAATAAAATAAAATAAATAATCCTTTTTTTAAAAAAAGGAAAAAACAGGCCAGAGGAAAAGTTGAAGTCCACCCTGCGGGACCAGCTTCCACAGTCTTCATGGAATCCCGAATACGTAGGGGTGAGGGGGACAGGCCTGGCTCCGACCCCGGATGTACCATCTCCGGCCAGTCATACCCTCCCCCTGCGTGCCTCGGTTTCCCCATTCTGTGCTCACCTGAGATGCCATAGAGGCTGGAAGCCTCATAAATGGAGTCATTCCTTCGCAGGGTAGAGGCCCGAGAGCCCAGCCGGGACAGCGTCCTTTCAGGGCAGCTGCTTTTGCTGGTGGGCATGAGACAACCAGGTAAGACGGGGCCTCCGTCACACGGTCACCCCACCCCGGTGCTCACCGCTCACCTGGTCTGACTGGGCGGGTCCAGGGAGAGACCCTGCATGTCCCGGGTGAGACTTCGGGGCTTGGGCACCGGCTTCGGGGCCTTGGCTTTCTTGCACCAGATGGCAAAGCCACCCATGTCTCTGAAGCAGAGGAAAG